GGTTTGAATCCCGCGTAGGGTAAATCAATTTGTCGTCCAGTCTCAATCTTAGCCGAAAAAGACGACACGGAGATATGTATATAGAAATATGTATGACTATAAATTTAAGATATATTTTTTTTTTCTTACAGATGTTGTTGTTATGTTGTAAATAAAGTATTCCCAAAAGGTTTTCAGTAGTAATAATTTAAATTTTTTCTAGCCAAAGCAAACCTTTTTTATCATTAAAATATAAATTTCACTTGATATAAAACAGAGAAATGAAGCATTAAATTAGATAAAGACCTATCTCCCCCATCCTCTTTTAAACCGCACTTATATCCCCTTAACCGTACAGGCACGTGTCTGCTATAGGCACATTAATGTGGAATTCCCACCTAAATTTCATTCCCACAAGAAATATTTCACTGCGACTCCATAGTTATTTGACGGTTGACCACAAAAACAAAATTTTGAGAACAATCCAATCAATGTGTTTTGGACCTTATGTTAATAGACACACGGCATATGTCAAATGTATGAGATTAACTTGTTCGCAGTACATTTTTTGCACGTCAATCGCATGGCCGTGGGAGCTATTGACGCATTCAATGTTGAGAGATAATTAAAAAAAATCGTGTAAACGTGTAAACGAGATTTTTTCAATGTTTACTTTTGTGTCCGGTTCACAAACTTCCGATAAGATTGTAAACGGTTTATTTGCTCTGCTAAAGTTATTTAATTAAAATTTTTCTTTTGATGTTCATCCTTACAAAATCAAGCCTTTGGATAAATTCGTGAGATATTTAGAAACTTTTAACTTTCTGTTGTAATAACGATGATTTATATCTAAATACACAGAATTTTAGAAGTAATGTGATCATTAAGTTTTTTATTAAGTCAGACGTGTTATTTAATATTATTTTATTTATAAAACACTAGCGGTTCACTCTCGCTTCGCTTGGGTTGGTCCCTAGGTACGTTTTAGCGGTTAGAATGGAATAGGTAGACTATATATTATATTACTGCTCCGCTCCCTTGGGTAGTAGCATATAGCCTATAGCTTTCCTCAATATACGGGCTATCTAAAGCACAAAATAATTTTTCAAATCTGATTAGTAGTTTCTGAGATTAGGGCGTTAAAACAAACAAAAATTTATAATATTAATATAGAGTACAGATGTCGTAATCTTTACATCTATACATAGAATAAAATTCTAACTGAGTCAAATCTGTACATTAAATATTTATTGGCAAATCTTATTGAAATAGGCATTATTATCGATACAGAGGCCGAATCTTATCTGACGGGAACGATGGGACTGACATTTAGCTCTGTTGCTAAGAAGTCCCTAAATAAAAACAGATTAAAAAAAGAGGCCGAATCTATAGTTTTTAGAATTTTTGTCAGTCTGTTACCGCATCACAGAAAAACTACTGGACGGATTTTGATGAAATTTGGTATGGTTATAGCTGATTATTCTGGTCAACATATAGGATACTTTTTACCGCAGAAAAATATCTCTTTTCTGAGAAAAAATACAAAAACTGCAGTGTAAGAGTATAGTAATATGTAAAACCTAAGAATTTGGTTGTTGGTCATCTGAACGCGGGCGGAGCCGCGGGCAATGCTAATCTCTCTATATTTGATTTTCGTTCCAGCCACAAATGTTTTTAAACAATACTATTATATGGCCCAGAGTGACATAACCTACTTTTTCTTACTCTTCCCTCTAACTTTTAACTATTTTGGTATATTGCTTTTGATATAACTCTATTTGAATTTTTTTTCATAAACTATACTGGGATATGTAGCGTATAATATAATTTTCCCACGCAAAGACCTCGTCAAAGAGCGTTAAAATTAGACCCCTGTACTTACAAAATGATTGAGTAGATATTTCTTTGAAATGAACCTTATATTTTGTACATAACAGTTGAAAATTGACTGAAAACTATTATTAGTAATTCCTAACAGACATTCTTATGGTCGTTTTTGTGAGGTCCCTATTTCATATATAAGTCAGGTTAAGTGGAAAATGTCTCATTTGTTCGATTGAATTCGGATAGAAAGGACGTACATATAGTTTAATTAAAGCAATTTGAGTGTTAAAATATACCTTTGTAATAAGTAAAATTGGCTTGGTAATAAAAAAAGTTTTAGACTACCGTTAATAATGAAGAAAAGTCATTTCCGACGAATAATTTAGAAACTTTACGGAAAGTCTATACACATCCACGTACTGGTCCTCTTTATTATTGTACTAGCGACTCACCCTCGCTTGCTCGTGTTCATCCCTAGGTACGTTGTAACGGCATGGAATAGATAGTCGATCCCTATCGCTCAGTGAAAAACAAAAACAAATCTACTTAGTTACGTTTAGGCAGCGTTTTCATTGAAAGTTCTGCTCGGCTTATTTTTTTCGATACCTCCAACAAATATCGTTATATTTTAGCTAATGTATACAAAAACTTAACAAACTATATACTAAAACCTTCCTCGAGTACCACTCTATCCATTGGTGAAAATAACATGAAAATCGGCGCAGTAATTTTTGAGTTTATCGCGAACAGACAGACAGGCGCAGCGGAGGACTTTCTTTTATAATATGTAGTGATTCGTTTCAATAAAACCAAAAATAATACTTTTTTTAGCTTTACACGAATGCCAGATTTTAATCAAAGAAGAACGGTTAAAACATATCAAATCAAATTGCTTTATAATAAAGTAAATGTTTTTATACAACTTTGTTAGTATTGTTTTGTGTTTATGTCATTTTACAACTCTTATATTATCTCTATGACAAAATAATCGATCTCTTCCTCCGCGATAATGAAATAAGAACAAACGCATCGTATATTTTGTAATTAATAACATTAGTTCAGAATCATACAAGATTTATTAACTTTAAAAATATCTTACTGTCTCCACTTTTCTTAAAAAAATATTTTTGATATAACATCCAGCATCACCAATCTTCCTTAATTCTCTAGTGTTTAAAAGAAAAGTTAATGGAGGAGTTGGAGTTGCCTTTTGCAAAAAATGTACTTCGAAATAAAATTTAAGTACACATTTCATTTATTCCTTTTAAAGTAACTCCTTTGAAGAATATTAAATTCAAATTTTGTATATAGCTTATGCTCTTTGCACACCGTAAAACAACTGTGTTTTATAAACATCGTTCAATTTATTTCCTGCAATTTTTTTTTCTTTAATAATAAATTTTTAACTAAAGTATAATTACAAGAGCAAAATCTTAAGTAATATTTTTTTTCCGTAATAAACTTACATATACATTACAGAATACAGATAGATATATTCAGCATTTTTTACGTCCCACAACTGGGCATTTAATATAAAAAGGCGGTGGTAGCCTATTTTTTTAAAAACTATAGATTCGGCTTCTTTATCGATAACTAGCATTGCCCGCGGCTCCGCCCGCGTTCAGATGACCAAAAACCAAATTCTTAGGTTTTACATATTAATATACTCTTTCAATGCAGTTTTTGTATTTTTCTCAGAAATGAGATATTTTCCCGCGGTAAAAAGTATCCTATATGTTGACTCGGATAACCAGCTACCATCATACCAAATTTCATAAAAATCTGTCCAGTGGTTTTCTCGTGATGCGGTAACAGATAGACAGACAGACAGACAGACAAAAATTCTAAAAACTATAGATTCGGACTCTGTATCGATAATAATGTCTATTTCAATTAGATTTTCCAAAAAATATTTAATGTACAGATTCGACTTAGTTACAATTTTATTATATGTATAGATAATGACTATTTTAATAAGATTTTCCAAAAAAAAATATTCATTGTACAGATTCGACTCAGAATTTTATTATATTGTATAGATGTGAATTAACCGTAACACATTTTTATATCGAATGGAACAATTGAAGGTATACAAACGATTTAAGATTGAATTAACTTATTTATATTATTATTATATTTATTATTTGACACAAATTGTTATAAGACTCAATGTTTAGGACTTTTGAAGCTTTATTTCAGAAGATACGATAATGTCATCCTCCTAAGGGATAGCTAATCGTATGGCGTTTTACCCCTCTTCGACTACATAATATGACATCCAATCACCTAGCAATATAGTCTCTGAGCAAAATGACTGCGACATATGGACAGACGGACTGACGGATATGACGAAATATTTTAAATAATTTAGATTTTAGCCTTCTGGCTACGGAAACCTAACAAAGGTATAAATTGCTTTAAAGTTAAATAAAAGTTATGAAGAAAAATGTAAAATAATACTTTCGAGTTGCGATGGCCAATCTCTACAATACAACTTTCAAAACTTTTTTTATATAATTAGTATTAGAAATATGCTTCGATTCAATAGACTCTCTGGTACAAATTTTACGTATATCAAAAACTATATCTTTTGCACTGGTCAGATTCAATATCAAACTGACAGAAGATGAAAGGAGTTTAAAAGAGGTTTCTTTCTGTAACTTCATCAATTTTCATTATTTATTTGGTATGCAGCAGTATTCTCTTATATAATACAAGCGACTCACCCTCGCTTCGCTCGGGTTAGTCCCTATGTTGATTCCCCATTTCTGTTAGGCGGCTATTTATGTATCACTGCGACCATTTCTGGTCTATTGTGATCGTTGATTCCCCATACAAACTTTCATCCCCATTTTTTCCCCTTAATGGATGATTTCCGGGATAAAAAATTTCCTTCCCAGGGTCTCAAACTATCTTCTTACAAAATTTCATCTAAATCGGTTTAGTAGATCCAGAGATCCCTCCCTACAACGTCACAAACTCACAATTCACAAACTCACAAACTTTATCTTTTTATAATATTAGTATAGCAGTATAGATGGGCAAAAACAATGGTTATGGGAAAACAAGGAAATATAGCATAATGAGGCAAATTTTTATTCATATAATATGTATGATATATTTCGATACCCAAATGAATATCTTTTAGCTTACTAATAAACTCCAAAAATAATATTTTCCACAAAAAATACAAATTAGTTATACTGGTTCGGTGAGGTACAATCAGCTCCTAAGCCATCTGCGTCACATATACAAATAGTATTATCAACATAGAATCTTGAATATGGTACACAAACCTGGACAGCTAAAACAAAAATTGGTTTATTCCCACGTATAAAGGTACAATTAAGTTATACTTTAAAATGTATATTTGTATTTTTTTAAGTACGTTATTTTATTTAAATTGCACTAGTTTGAAAAGTTGCAAGGAGTAGGTTTGTAATTAAATGTAGTAACTGGCTATTTTTTGTAGGAACTTGATATAAAAAAGAGTCCATCTAATTCTGAAATAGCATACAATTTTATAGTAGGAAAGAATAGCTAAAATACGAATATTGTAATATAAAAAATATAACAAAATACATGCAAATTATCAAAAAAATGAGTTAGCACTTGCTTTGCTTTAATTTATATTTTTATTTAAATAGGTGCTTATACTATCAATGGATACGATACATACCTCGTCTAAATGGCACCAGTCCGTCCAAGGGAATTACGCTTAGATGCACTGAAGAAATTAGCTAAAATAAAAATAAAATTACAAATTGTACTGCGAATTAATTTACTTTCGTTTTACCATAGAGCTATCTATACTTTTATTTAAACTTCTATCTACTCAATCTATTAATATTATAAATCTGTTTTGATCTTCTCTCATGCTATAACAAAGCAATAGATTCTTGTGCTACGCATAAGCATGTCCTTGCATAGAATAATGGGACGATACTTCGATATGACCAGTAACAGTTAAGGTAAAGGGTCGACGTGACACATGCTCTCCGATGCACGTGGGTGACACCGTCAACTTCTCAACTCCGTGCTGCTATTGAAAATTCCTTAACAAATAAACTCAATAGCTAAACTTGGTCCGACCTGGGAGTTGAACCCAGGACCTCTTGATCTGCGGCTGTACACGCTAGCTACTAGACCACCGAAGCAGGAAAAAGGGATTTTTGAAATGGATTCACAATTGATTAAGATTTGATGTAATGTTCACAAATACGTACATCCGAATTGAGATTTTTTTTTACATTTCTTAGTGCTACAGTTGTTGCGTTTTTCATGGAAATAGTATTTATTTACGTACCTTATATAGTACACAAATAATTTACAGTATGATGAAAATGTAATCTAAACTTACCGCTAGTAATAAAATAATTTGCTTAATCATTTCGATTAAAATATTCACTAGATTGATCACAGCTTCAATAAGGATAGATTCTGTGCTGTTGTGTGATAAGCATTAATTATATATTATTGAATGCTTTATGCATAATCGCATTATGCATAACTAACTATACGCATGTTATTAATTTCGTTTCGATTAATGTTAGTTAAAAGGTAGTAGGGTAAATACAAATTTTATGAAGTATCCATTCTTATTTTATTAAAAAATCTCCTTCGTATCTTCTACATTCTTTCAAATATTCTTTATTGCACACAATTATTTTAAATTACATTGTTGAAACAGATTAAAGAAAAATAGTACAATAGGCGCCCTATTCGCTAGAGAGCGATCTATTCTAGGCAACCTTCGGGTAGAGAGAAAGAAAGAGAGAAGAAAGGGGTGCAATCTTAAGAATATATACAAATGAATACATATACAGACAAACAAATATGTACATACATATATTGACTATAATGTGGCCTTTCCATCTATTTCAGACGTTTTAAGCAGAGTATGGTTACTTTAAGCACTTTCGTTTGTACAATCCAATTCTGGACCAACAAGGCCGACTGCGACCAGAGCAGATGTACATCGCGACACATGGACTACATGGGTGGGTGATTGTCGCTTTCGTGTCGTTTGGCTCTAGTATCAGAAAGTTTGTCGAACCATGATGTATCATGGAGGTTGATGTCTTATATATTGACACACAAATTGATATATACATACATACACATTAAACATACACATTTAACATATGTATGTACATACATACACATTAAACATAGAAAATATAACATCATATAGCACTTTATTAGGTTAGCTTTGAAGCCATAAACAAGAGAATTAAATTTATTAGGTTAAGATAGTAGTCTGTCTGTTAGTAGTCTGTTTGTCCCCCCCAACGTGCGTTCAGATGACCAAAAACTAAATTCTTAGGTGTTACATATTAGTATACTCTTACATTGCAGTTTTGTATTTTTCCTCAGAAATAAGATATTTTTCCCGCGGTAAAAAGTATCCTAGGATCGCGCGCTACATCGCCCGGTTTATATAGCTTGAGCAGGCGGTCGAGCGATGCGGGGCAGAGGGGATGGACTCGCCGTAGGCATCTCAATGCTCGCCAAGCATTAAAAATGTTTCGCTACTAATTACTTCTAACAACGATATCTCAAAAACTATTCATCTGATTGATTTAGTGTAAAGAGCAATTTTAATCTGCATTAAATGACTAAGCTAACTAAAATATTCATTTGGATAAGGATTAATACCGAACTAAAGAAAATAACTTTGAAAATAACGTAATGTTTTTAATTAAAAATGTTAACATAAAAGTGGTTATTGTAAGTCAACCGTAAGAGATAGAGATATGCTATCGCGGACTTTTTTGTAGCATTTTTATAGATTTTGAATTCTCTAGTACATTACTTAACTGTATCTTTGCTAGTTTACGCGGCGTTCGCGTGGAAAGTTCCCATTTGGCGAGATTTTTTGCGACCTCTTCAACATTTGTCGCCGTATTTCAGCTAATTTACAAAAAAGCATAATAAATTATATACCTAAACCTTCCTCAAGAATTACTCTTTCTATTGTTGAAAACCGTATAAAAATCCGTTCAGTAGTTTTCGAGTTTATCGCGTACAGACAGACAGGAGGACAGACAGGAGGACAGAAAGACGCGGCCGGGGGACTTATTTTTATAATAAGTATAGATGACAGCGAATCGGTTTGTTTAATTTTATTTGGTAAAAAGTTCCCAAGTCGGGCAGATTGAACAGTAAAGGAGTGGGTATAGAAGGAAAAATAGTGTGAAGGAATTTGTGACATTCGTGACTTCGATAATTTCTGTTTTCAAAATTTTTGAATTTAACCTCTTAGTATTGAGGTCTCAGTGTTGTAATCTTTTTTATGGAATTAGAAGGTATCAAGATAAACTGATAAGTTATTTACTTTAAAAAATTGCCACATTGAAAAATGTATAGTCGATTTCATGGTAGAATCGATTATACTATGGTTGTAAAATAAATATTATTCGATTAAAAAAAGCAAGATTTTTAATTTTATATTACATTTAAAAGTACATGTATATAAATAAGTATTCATTAATATTGCAACAAAATAAAAGTTTTCATCTATTGAGACTTTAGTTTGAGCCAGCCGATGCATAGCAAATCTAATATATTTCGATACGTAAAATACATATTTACTGTATTATTTATTATATTTTAAAATATTGTCGGCTGGCACCGACTTCGAAAATATCTGATTAGGTATCTATTCTAAATGAAAACCTCCGTTTAGTTATTTTTTTACATTGTAGTGCTCGGAAGTCGGTTTCTATTTATTTTTTTAAAGTTTTTATTCACAATGATAATGGTCGGGATGGCTTTTTTTATTCGTGCTTTTAACAATATCAAGTACTTCACGTAAGATATTTTCCGTTAGTCAATCCAATTCATTACAAAAGGTAACAAGGTTTTACGACTACGTCACTAGTACTAAAGAAAATTTAAATAACTTACAGAATTGAGGCTTTTTTATCTCATTCACGCATTAACTTGTTATTATAGGTCTATGATATATAAAAACAGGTTTTTTTTTTAATTTACGCGTAATGTTCTGTAAAAAAGTAGTTCTGTTAGTACATAGCTATTCCCGCGGCTCCGTCCGCGTAGTCTATTTAGGTATTCCTTGAAGTTTTTCAAATCTGACTTTTAGTTTTAAAGATTAACTCGTCGAAAAAAATATAAACAATATATTTTTTAGCTTTTTGTATCGATAACGCGAATAATATTATAGATAACAACGCGAATTGATTATAACGTAAATTGATAACAACGTCATGATTCTTTAAATGTAGTAATGTGTAGATATCGCTCAAACATTTTTCTCGCCCTTTCAGTGGAAATAAGCAATATAATTTATAACTGTGTAGTCTCATTATTGCGCACCGATGCTCCAGCAGACATCTTAAGAACTTTGTAAGCGTCGTAGCAAGGAATCTTTCAAAGATCCTTTATTTATTATTTCTTAACTAACGATCCTCCTTAGTTTCCGGCATCAATAAATAATTATTATTGAGTATTTAAAAAAAAAAGTAAGATTCGCGAATATTCTCCATAATCTATATTGAAAATTTGAGGAAAACGTTATATGAATACTTTTCTCAAAATGTTTATTGACAACACTAAAGTTTCTCAATAGCTACCAAACAAATAAAAAGATAATCCGTTGACAAAAGAGAAAGAGATGAAAGGGATAAAAATATTGAATTGTTTTGTCTCTGTCTATTTATGTAATAAATAATATCAATTATACTTATTATTGTTAAAATTTCTTCATAGATCGAAATAAAAAAATAGCAAATGTCTCTCAAACTGTAAATACTTTGATTGTTGAATTAATTTACTTCTGAGATATCCATATTTGAAACTTGTTTTTTAAGAAACTTCTGATTTATGGCACATACATATTTTGTGTACCATCTTTAAAAAAATATGAAACAGAGTCTTATCTGTTATAAGATACTAGTTTTCTCACAAAGTTGGCCTATATCCATCTCCAGGATGCAATCTATGTCCTTGCCAAGTTTTATTGAAATATGTTGAGCGGTTTAAATGTGAAAATATAACAAACACACACTTGGTTCAGTTTGTACTGACCATACTTGCTGCGACAGCGGTCGCGGGTTCGATTCCCGTTGGAGGTCTTCATTTGTGTAATGAATACGAATGTTTGCACTCTAGTCATGGATGTTTATATTTAAAATATGTATGTATTTAAAGTTATATATGTGTAGTGTATCAACTATCTGGCATCCATAACACAGGCCTCATAGAGTCATAGCGCACTATGGAACTAGATGGTGCTGTGTGTTAATGTTCCAACATATTTATTTATTTATTACTTTTACAATTATAATATTAGCGAGTTCGACTCACGCTTGACAAAAGTTTAAAACAATTACTTAATTAAATTTTAAAGATCTCATTATTACGAACCAATGCTCGCATTTAACCTAAAGGACATTTCAAATACTTTAAGCGCACTTCAGCCTTTTTTACTCTTGAAAACAATTTAGAGAAAATTGTTTATTGTTGCCGATAGCTTTCTTTTTAAATTATTTTTATACTTGCTCTTGTACAGTGGCTTTACCTGTTTTTTTTCACAATATTTAATGTGATTCTGAACCATAAATAAATATATGACCATAAATAAAAATATTTGTTTAATAATTAAATAACTACATGCAATATTTGTTCAATATTATTTTCATACGAACCATACCGGTGATAGGACTCTGTCAAGCCTGAGGAGTCCGACTGGATGGGTACCACCCCCTTATTTACCACCATCTATTTCTCCCGCCAAGCAACAATGATTGCATTGTTGTGTTCCGGTTTGAAGGATAAGGTAGCCAGCGCAATTACAGGCAAGAGACATATCATCTTAGTCCTCACAGTGACAACGCACCTGCAGTTCTGCATTTTTGTAACATAAAACCTAAGTGTATGAACCGTAGGTGTTTGGGCGACAGGTACCGCTTTTCATCAGGCGGGATGTCTGCTCGTTTGTCACTGAATACCATAAAAAAGTATATAGTTAACATTTTACTCATCCATTTTTTATTTTATTAATAGTTTTTACTACCGCTGAAAAATACATTCTATTCTAGAAGAACCATTACTGCCTAGTCCCAGTGTACTATGAGGTAAAAATATAACCTAAACATATTTGGGATAGTGGATTAAGTCTTAGGCAAACGGAGTTAGCTATGTGGAACTTGTAAAGAAGTATTGTAGTGCTGAATCGGCGGACATATATCAGCTGTCGAAGTGTGTAACAAGTCTTATAGAATAGCATGGCTAACAAATAATATGAGCTACGACGATACTTTGAAGATAGCCATTCTTTTATAAAAACCTCTAAAGCTCGATATACAGTAGGGGAAAAATCTAAAAGTTCAAATTAAGAAGCTCCTCATTTTTTGAAATCGGTTAAGT